CCAGGGCACAAAGATATAGGTTGAGGAGCAGGGAAAGCCATTTAAACATAGGTAACATCATAGTTATATTATAATTATCAATTTCATGGGCCAGATGAAAGGGACGAAATCAAATTTCAAACAACTGTACTCTAAGTTCAAAATGGGGAATCTTTAGTAGTTATATGCCATAGAAAGGGTTCTACATCACAGGGTTGATAGAGGGGGAATGGGAGAACATGCCATTTTTAGCAAGTCAGTACACTACACTAACTACTGACAAGGAATTTTTGCTATAAGAAAAAAAAAAATACACTGGTGGGTTTAAAGGGATGAGTCATGTGGGGATACCCAGAAATAAAAGAAAGGATGGGGTAAGGAAGAGAAAGCTCAGTATAACAACGGTGACCAGGCCCCCTCGCATAGCACAACGGTGACCAGGCCCCCTCGCATAGCACAACGGTGACCAGGCCCCCTCGCATAGCACAACGGTGACCAGGCCCCCTCGCATAGCACAACGGTGACCAGGCCCCCTCGCATAGCACAACGGTGACCAGGCCCCCTCGCATAGCACAACGGTGACCAGGCCCCCTCGCATAGCACAACGGTGACCAGGCCCCCTCGCATAGCACAACGGTGACCAGGCCCCCTCGCATAGCACAACGGTGACCAGGCCCCCTCGCATAGCACAACGGTGACCAGGCCCCCTCGCATAGCACAACGGTGACCAGGCCCCCTCGCATAGCACAACGGTGACCAGGCCCCCTCGCATAGCACAACGGTGACCAGGCCCCCTCGCATAGCACAACGGTGACCAGGCCCCCTCGCATAGCACAACGGTGACCAGGCCCCCTCGCATAGCACAACGGTGACCAGGCCCCCTCGCATAGCACAACGGTGACCAGGCCCCCTCGCATAGCACAACGGTGACCAGGCCCCCTCGCATAGCACAACGGTGACCAGGCCCCCTCGCATAGCACAACGGTGACCAGGCGACCTCGCATAGCACAACGGTGACCAGGCGACCTCGCATAGCACAACGGTGACCAGGCGACCTCGCATAGCACAACGGTGACCAGGCGACCTCGCATAGCACAACGGTGACCAGGCGACCTCGCATAGCACAACGGTGACCAGGCGACCTCGCATAGCACAACGGTGACCAGGCGACCTCGAATAGCACAATTCTATCAAAGATGAAATGAATAAAACAGAAGAGGTATGCATTTTTATATCACAAAGGAAAAAATTTTATCATGGATTGGGAATCCAATTAAAATTGCACAAGACTGAAGCAATACAGATTACACAATGTCTGAGCTGTATGTTAACAATACAGACTTTGAAGAGACTTCTGTTGGGTTTCAGGGCCACCGACAGCATACGCCGTATTGAAGAGACCTGCATGCAACAAATGTAGATACCACACTTGGTTAAACCTTTTATGTTTAAAGAGTTTTGAGAGAGTCGGTACTCTCAGAGCCCGGTCATGGGTCAGGCTTGTTTGATGCTTGCGTGGTCAACCAGGCTGTTGCTGCTGAAGGCCAGCTGCCCCAGTTAGTTAACCCTTAAACTGTCCAAACGTAGATCTACGTTTGCACGTGTAGCGCTACAAACGTAGATTTTTTTTTTTTTTTACACAAGAAACAACTTAAAACCGAATGTAGATCTACGTTCGGAGGGCTACGCGTGTGAACATAGATCTACGTTTGGACAGTTTAAGGGTTAAATGTTTAAAATATAAAATTAGGGCTTTCCATGGGAAAGATAACTGTACATTTCCTCAGACTTAGTTAATTTACAAACTACTGTAGTGCAGGATGGCATGTAAGATACAACAATACAAGTACAGTGGACCCCCACATAACGATCACCTCCCAATGCGACCAATTATGTAAGTGTATTTATGAAAGTGCGTTTGTACGTGTATGTTTGGGGGTCTGAAATGGACTAATCTACTTCACAATATTCCTTATGGGAACAAATTCGGTCAGTACTGGCACCTGAACATACTTCTGGAATGAAAAAATATCGTTAACCGGGGGTCCACTGTATTAAATTGGGGAGTTTGTACAGTTACTATAACAGAAGGGTTGGAAAGACATGAAAAGCTGGATGAGCTAAATGCACAGCAATATTAATTTTAGCATTATCATGACTAATATTTTTGCTTGATAGGTGGCTTTCTTCTGAACATTAATTTTAGTCAGTTCTTCTTTATCAGTTTCAAAAATTAACCAAATGAACTGAAAAACTAGTCAATTTCTACACAAAAATGTGTGAATGTAAAGGGTTAGAAAGCACAGGTATTATTGGCACTTAAATTTAACCCAGGACAAGCCAATAAAGTGAAGAGAGTTCACTTTATTGATGCAAGTTTAACCCGTAAACGGTCCAAATGTATACATACGTTTTTTTCAACATTTGAAAGTAAAAAAAGTAGATTTGTTTTTTTTACATTGAAAATGTGTAAAAAAAACTTCGATCTACTTTTTTTGTTATATTTGAAAATATGTAAAAAAAACGTAGATCTACTTTTGTAGCACTACACATGTGAACGTAGATCTGCTTGGACCGTTTATGGGTTATTGAAGTACAGGTACACACAAGTACAGTGGAACCTTGGTTTTCGTATGCCGCAGTTGGAGAAAGTTCTCCAAAATGTAATTTTTGTTAATATTTTTGGGTGTATGGAACGGATTAATTGGTTCCGTTCCAGACACTGAAAATACATTTTATAGAGAATTTTCTCCAACTACGGCATACGAAAACCAAGGTTACACAGTACTAATTATCCAAAGATCCCAATGGAAATAAGCCACTGAAAATCTCTCATCTTCTATGCATCATATTTCTACTGAAAATCATTAATTTCCAGAATGTTCATTCTTACAATCATTCCATAAACTTGAACTCACTTTGAAACTACGAAATTCCACTTAAGTGACGATCAATGAATTAGTATGAAATATAAACACAAAATAGTACTAGTGTTCATTTGGCTTCTTTCGTACACTAAAAACTACTTAATAACCAATGTCTAGTTCTTCAGTAGACGAAGACGTAGTCTGCCCAAAGTGCACCACATGCTAGTATGGGGTCTTTTGTGCGTAAGTTTATTTAGGCACAAAGTTTATTTAGGTATAAATAAGCTTATTTAGGCACCAGGTACACACAAGTATACAGCATTAATTACCCACCAGGATAACCCCAAAGAAGTCAAAATGGCTTAAATTCATTGAGGTCCTCTACTTATTTCCATGTACACATTACCTATCTACTGCAGATTATATCAAAGCCAAGTGTTAAACCCACAAGGGCCATACAGCATACACTGCAGAAAAATTTGTATTCGCATTTACACGCATTACCGTAAGTAAAATTATGCGTACCTGGACGTAATTAAAGTTAGGCTATTTATACCTATACAAACATCCACAAGAACAGGGATAGCGGAGAGCCCAGAGCAACACTGAACTTTTGAGAGAAATAACTTTAAAAGGCAAAAGGAGTTAAGAGTCCCGAATAAGGCGACATTATTCGCACGTGCGAACTAACGTTTCCTTCAACGTAAATTTGACCAAACCTCGGTTATTTATACCTGGTAAATACGTAAATTATCCAGAAAACAAAGTCAAAGTGACCTATTTCCATTATGTTGGTTGTAAAGTGAACAAAGGTGCATCATCATGTAGCAGGTGTTACACAGGTGACTCAACACCTGCTGATATATAAAGTGGATCAGTAACACCCGAGTGACCTTCAACGACCTTCACTAGAATAAAGACTTTATAGGTTATCCCAGGTAGGTCACACCTGTGTCACGTGTGACTGTACCTGTGTACACCTGTACACTAATAAACTTAAAAACCAAGTTTAATTAGGTACAGGTGTACCTAGGTACAATTATAGTAGTAAGATATGTGTAAATTACCCAGGTATGATAGTTGTACCTGTGTGCACCTGGAACCGTGTGCACCTGGACCCGTGTGCACCTGGACCCAGTGTGCACCTGGACCCAGTGTGCACCTGGACCCAGTGTGCACCTGGACCCAGTGTGCACCTGGACCCAGTGTGCACCTGGACCCAGTGTGCACCTGGACCCAGTGTGCACCTGGACCCAGTGTGCACCTGGACCAGTGTGCACCTGGACCAGTGTGCACCTGGACCAAGTTGCACCTGGACCAGTGTGCACCTAGACCCAGTGTGCACACTTGGACCCGTGTGCACCTGGACCCCGTTGCACCTGACCCGTGGCACCTGGACCCAGTGTGAACCTGACCCAGTGTATGCACCTGGACCCCGTGTGCACCTGGACCCCGTGTGCACCTGGACCCCGTTCCCTGCCCCGTGTGCACCTGGCCCGTGTGCACCTGGACCCCGTGTGCACCTGGACCCCGTGTGCACCTGGACCCGTGTGCACCTGGACCCCGTGTGCACCTGGACCCCGTGTGCACCTGGACCCAGTGTGCACCTGGACCCCGTGTGCACCTGGACCCCGTGTGCACCTGGACCCCGTGTGCACCTGGACCCCGTGTATGGGTGTACACAGGTACAGGTGTGTAAATTACCCACCATGACGACCCAGAAAAGTGACTCACAGAGGTAAATAAGTACAAATGTGACCTCGTTTACCAACTATCAAGTAGAGCGCTAAACACGTATGGCAAAAAAAAATATTAAATAAAAAAATATGAATCTTGATCCATGACATTAAAAGATAAATTACAATTTTAAGACAAATTTGCTTAATTTTACAAGTTTTTCCCATGATAATTAAGACATAATTAAGTCATTAGTTATTAAATATGGAAATAAGAGAATTAAATAACTTTAAAGTTAATTAAGTCACGAGGTGAAGGTTTAATTAGGACAGACTAACTACCCTAGAAGTTAATGAATTAACGAGCCATTAGAGTCACGAAAAAGGATTTTTTTAAATGCAAAATGTCCTAAAATGTGGTTAATAATGGCGTCATGGCGGGAGAAGTGCGTCACAGATGCCACTCCCTTACACTCACCGGCACGCGATCTGGGTACTTCTTGCGGATCTTCTCTCCCTCCGTCCGTCGCTTCTCGAACGGGTGTTCCTCCTTGTACTGCCACTTCATGCTGGCTGCTGCACACAAGTGTGTAACGAGGGTATAATGTTCACCTCCTGGTGAGTGACGATGATCAACTGCGTCTGAAGCTTCGTCACCTCGGCTCGATAAACACAAACTATAGATACTTCAACTCTTTTATATGTACGATCTAAATCTATTAAATTAGAATCTAATACCTTTAAACTTTAATTTTAAGCGATTCGATTCTTTTTATGGAATTTTGTAAACAAAATCCTCTATAGTAACGGGGTATTTATGTCATCTATTGTAATGATGTTTGACAACAAAGGCCGCGTAACAACTCTTTAATCCGCGACATAACCTAGTTCTCCCTTATTTTTGCCTCCCATTACCTAAATACCCATTAACATCACCTCTAATCACCATTTACACACTCATTTACCACTTCCAAACTGCAAAATGTTAATAAAAATGGCTGGAAGTATAAATTACCCCACCACACGTAATGTCCCATGACAGTGACGTCACTGGTAATTTACCAGCTGATTCCTTAACAAATTAACTTTCCCTTTATTTAAGGTCATTAAATGGCCTTAAATGGCTTAATTTGATGCCTTTTATGTCATCACAGTGGGAAGATGATGTTAATGTTATATTAACATCTATAACACCATTATCACAGCTAATTAACACTACCAGTAATGAGTCAGTAATTAAATATTTCTCTATCATTATTAACTGTAATAATTATTATGAAGGACATTAATGATGATTATTAACATCTACAACACCACGACACACCATCATCATCAATAATAATGATGATGATATAATTATTAATAAATAATATTAATATTATTATTATTATTATTATTATTATTATTATTATTATTATTATTCTTAATTTCACTTCCATTATTAATTTTATTTATATTATTAATCATTCTTCTTCTTCTTCGTCGTCTTCTTCTTCTTCTTCGTCGTCTTCTTCTTCTTCTTCTTCTTCTTCTTCATCTTCTTCTTCTTTTCTTCTTCTTCTTCTTCTTCTCATCTTCTTCTTCTTCTTCTTCTTCATCTTCTTCTTTCTTCTTCTTCTCTTCTTCTTCTTCTTCTTCTTCTTCTTCTTCTTCTTCTTCTTCTTCTTCTTCTTCTTATCTTCTTCTTCTTCTTCTTCTTCTTCTTCTTCTTCTTCTTCTTCTTCTTCTTCTTCTTTTCTTCATCTTCTTCTTCTTCTTCATCTTCTTCTTCTTCTTCTCTTCTTCTTCTTCTTCTTCTTCTTCTTCTTCTTCATCTTCTTCTTCTTCTTCTTCTTCTTCTTCTTCTTCATCTTCTTCTTCTTCTTCTTCTTCATCTTCTTCTTCTTCTTCATCTTCTTCTTCTTCTTCTTCTTCTTCTTCTTCTTCTTCTTCTTCTTCTTCTTCTTCTTCTTCATCTTCTTCTTCTTCTTCTTCTTCTTCTTCTTCTTCTTCTTCATCTTCTTCTTCTTCCAAATCTTTCAGTGGGCTGCAGAAAACAATATGAAGTTCAACGATGAGAAATTTCAATTACTCAGATATGGTAAACACGAGGAAATTAAATCTTCATCAGAGTACAAAACAAATTCTGGCCACAAAATAGAGCGAAACACCAACGTCAAAGACCTGGGAGTGATCATGTCGGAGGATCTCACCTTCAAGGACCATAACATTGTATCAATCGCATCTGCTAGAAAAATGACAGGATGGATAATGAGAACCTTCAAAACTAAGTATGCCAAGCCCATGATGACACTCTTCAGGTCACTTGTTCTATCTAGGCTGGAATATTGCTGCACACTAACAGCACCTTTCAAGGCAGGTGAAATTGCCGACCTAGAAAAATTTTACAGAGAACTTTCACGGCGCGCATAACGGAGATAAAACACCTCAATTACTGGGAGCGCTTGAGGTTTCTAAACCTGTATTCCCTGGAACGCAGGAGGGAGAGATACATGATTATATACACCTGGAAAATCCTAGAGGGACTAGTACCGAACTTGCACACGAAAATCACTCACTACGAAAGCAAAGACTTGGCAGACGATGCACCATCCCCCAATGAAAAGCAGGGGTGTCACTAGCACGTTTAAGAGACATACAATAAGTGTCGGGGGCCGAACTGTTCAACTGCCCCCCAGCACACATAAGGGGGATTACCAACAGACCCCTGGCAGTCTTCAAGCTGGCACTGGACAAGCACCTAAAGTCATTTCCTGATCAGCCGGGCTGTGGCTCGTACGTTGGTTTGCGTGCAGCCAGCAGCAACAGCCTGGTTGATCAGGCGCTGATCCACCAGGAGGCCTGGTCACAGACCGGGCCGCGGGGGCGTTGACCCCCGAAACTCTCTCCAGGTAAACTCCAGGTACCTTACCCGTGACAGACTCCGAATTTACCCTTCTGCATGCCTGCACTTCCGCCATATACCATATCCCACATACCCTGATTTTGTCAACCACTGTCCATCCTTACCCCATCCCCAGGCCCCCCCCTATCCAATTACCTACCTCTAGTAACCTTGATTTCACCGTATTAACTCTCATTCCAGTATTCATACCAAACATCTGAATCACTCTACCCACCCTCCTTACCTCCTCCTTACCCCTTAGCAAAACAGTAGTATCATCCACATACCAAACGATGCCCCCTTTGCATCCCCCTTCCATCTCCTGTTTGTCCCTCACCCTCTCAACAGACTCATAAAAAGGATTTTTTTTTTTATATTTTATTTAAATAACTGCTTATACATAATACATTGTATGACTTACAAAACAAACCACGGTGAAATATAAAATAAATGGTACATACAGTGAACTTTATACCTCTCCGAACATGAAATTAAACACCAACATTACAAACTAGTCAATAACCCTAACCACATCCACATCGCCGCTTGACCTGCGCAGAGTGCGGACGTGTGACTACTGCCCTCTGCTGGCCATTGGAGAAGACATATTTTCACAACATGGCGCAGTCCGTGAGAAGGCGTTTGCACACAGTGTGCATTGAATTATTGCGTGGTGCAATAACGCCTCAGTCTGCACAAGTGCTTTTACCGCAAATTATCCGTGACACCTATGGTGTTGCGGATCAAGAACTGTATGGTGTGGCACTAAATGGTGCCTATCGTATTTTCGTCAAGCTGAGTTCAGCTGGAGTGTATGAACGGCTGGTTGACAAGTACCAGGACAGGAGCGTGGATGTTAATTCAGCGATACGTGTTCGCCTAATCGACGTGTCGAAGCATTACACATGGGTGAAAATCCGAAATGTGCCATTGAGGCGGACGAGAATGATCTGCGTATGTATTTGAACAGTATGGACCTGTACACCTGGCTATGGCTGGTAAATGGACGGATGGGGCGTATGCCGGCAAGCCGGATGGTACGTTCACGATCAAGATGGAGTTGAGGCATGCCATCCCGTCTTACGTCATACTGGACGCATTTAGGACACAGGTAATGGTGTACTACGCTGGGCAGCAGAAGACGTGAGGTTATGTGGTGCATATGACCATATGGCGGCCCAGTGTGGGAGATGGCAGCGGAGAAAGGACCTAGGTCGTGAGAAGGTGACAGAGCCAGAACCAGAGGTGGGTCATGCTGATGAGGCACCTGTACATAGAAGTGGCACTTCCTGGAGTGAGGAAGTGGAGCGTGAGCTGCCACTGGTGGGTACCAGCCCATCACTGTCACAGTTGGTGGGAAAGTGAGGCATCTGCCATGGAGAACGGGAAGACTGTGCAGATATGGTGACGTGCGGGTAGAGGAAGGCCTACTGGTGAACGTGCAGGAAAAATCCTTTGAGAAGCAGGTTGCTGAGGATAACTTAAGCATGGTGAGGAGTACTGTTCAGATTGAAGATGAGCAACTTGGAAGATTGGCGAACATGGCAGATGACTCGCCAGGAGTGGTGGAAGTAATTGAGGTGACTGCTGAGATTCACAGGGAGGCATCCAGTGAGTTTGGAAATGGATGCAGAGTGTGTCAACCGTAAGAGGGCGGCGACATATTCTGACTCTGATGATGTTTTGACCCCGGCACAGAACCGGGGAAAAGCCATGGGTTGATGTGGTGCGTGGGAGCACTAAAGGTACGCCTGATCAGGTGTTGGATAAGGGGAAGCCACCAGTGGGCAGTGATGAGAAAAGTGGACGCAGCAGACACACTGAAAGCGGTGTCAGTGAAAGGTGAAAAGGGGCAGAGGGTGAAATCACATAAGTAGGTTTCCGGTGCATGACAGTGAATATTAATGGATTGTGTGCGAGTGAGAAGCGTCTGTGGGTAAAGGGATTTTTAAGACGTTATGCTATAGACATTGTTTTTGTGCAGGAACATAATTTCAAGTTGGGAAAGGAATTGGAGGTGGATGGTACAGAGTGTTTGTGATGTATTCGGAGCGAATGAAGGGGGGGTGGGAATCCTGATCCGAGAGACGAGCCCGTTTGTTGTCTTAGGAGTGAAGGGGGGGGGGGTCGTGTGTTAAGAATAGATGGGTGGTGGAGAGGTTGAGCGGATGGCAGTCATTTGTGTGTATGTGCCGGCTGAGAATGATGTAAGGGTAAAGAATGAATTTGTGAATAACGTATTGGTATATTATTTGCGGTCATACCGTCAGTGACAATAGTTGGTGGCGACTGGAACTGTGTGGTGCGCAGGAAGGATGTGGAACCGAGAGGGGCAGGGTGTTTTTTGGCAGGTTTAGGGGATCTATTGAGAGGTGTGGGATTGAGGGATATAGTTGATGGAGGGGATTGCGAGATAAGCACACTTTTCATAGAAAGGGATATGCTGCACGATTAGATAGGTTGTATGTGACAAGGGGAGTGAGGGTGACGCGGGTGCAGACGGTGAATGTCGTTTATTCAGATCATAGGGCGGTTTAGTGATTTTAAATTGGGACGGTTTGCCTAAGAGATATTTGGGGTACTGGAAGCTGAATGTACGATACTGGAGTGAGGGGGTGGAGGGAGGGGATTTTGAAAGTTTGTGGGAGGACTTATGGGGGTGGGGGTAAGAGTGCAAGCGATTTATTGGGGTGGTGTGGATGGGGTTGCAAAGACGGGATCAGGCAATACTATGTGCGAAAGGGGAAAGAATGAGGCATGGATGACATTTGGGCTTCAACAGTA